AGCTCATGTGTTTCAGGAGGGAAATTTAGTGAGGTTTAGGCTGAAACTTGGAGTTCTATCTGTTTGAAAGCTGCCAAGGCCCTCAGGATCCTGCCTGAGGCAGTGCTCTGCCAGACACCAGTGCCCTGTCCCTTACTGCTGAGCACTTCATCCCCATCAGCAGCCCAGTGCCCTTGGCTAAGACAAGAATGTACCCACTGCAGTGCTCTGCTTAGCTCTATACATCAAACCATAAATAAAAATTCATGTGTTATAAACATTGTAAAAAGACTCAAAACAATTAGAAAACCTCTTTCACTTGCCATAAAAGAGAGAGAAATGCAATGTATTGCAGAGGAATAGGGCACTTACGCATCTTCACCAAACCAAAAAAGTTTGTATGAGCGATAACAAATAAACACTCAGTTGATACAATCTAGAGCAGTTAAGGAAAGCTCAAACAGTGAAGTTTGTAGAACAGAACTTAAGCTTAACTTAACAACATTTCTGGGACATCTACTCCAGTGTTTGACCACATTCACAATAAAAGCTTTTTTCCTAATTTTTAAGCGGAATTAGCTGCATTTTAATTTGTGCCCATTGACTTCTGCCTTGTCACTGAGTGTTGCTGAAAAGAGCCTCTGAGTTTCTCCCCATCAGGTATTCATACCTGCTGGCAAGATTCCCCTGAGCCTGCTCCTATCCAGGCTGAACAATCTCAGCTTTCTCAGCCTCTCCTCGTATGCCAGATGCTGCAGTTGCTTCATCACCTCTGTGGCCTGCACTGGACTCATCCCAGTATGTCCATGTCTCTCGCATACTGAAAGTCACAGCACAGTACCCCAGATGTATCTCACCAGGGCTCAGCAGAGGGGAGGGATCATCCCCCCTGACCTGCTGACAATGCTCTGGCTAGGGCAACCTAGGAGGTTCACAGCTGTCTCTGCTGCCGGGGGTTTTTGCTGCCTCAGGCTCAGCCTGTTCACCAGGATCCACAGTGCCTCATTTCTGCAGAGCTGCTCTCCATCCGATCAGCTCCCACTGTGCAATAATGTATGGGTTGTCCGGGCCCACGTAGACAACTTGAGCTGGGTACAAATGAAAAGATTAAGAAACCTGGGATTCACAGAAGTTTGCAAGATGGAGATGGAGCCCTCTGTCTTTATTTTACTAGTTGTAGAACATTTACCCAAAAAATGAGAGACATCCATTTGGCTTTAGTCTATCCTCTAGGGAATTCAGACTTTGTGTATATCCCAATTCCCAGGAAACTGAGTTTCCTATGCATTACACTGAGGAAAATCAGAGCAGATCAGTAATTCTACTCATTCTCTTGAGGCTGGGTCCAAGCACAAGTGGCTGACATTACAAGAAAAGTAAGGCAATACCCATCAAGTACAGGAATCAACCACACTGACAGTGGTGACCAAAGAACAGAGTGGCTTCTGGTCTCTCTCCCCACTCCAAAGATGGGGGGGGGGGGGGTTGGTTAGTGGTTTGGATTTTTTTTGTCTGTTTTTTTTTTAAATGTTGTTTAATGTTGTCCAAAAAATGCATAAATAATCCTTGTAGCAGGAGTAAGGATTCAGATGAATCCCCTCCCATTTAAGCACTGTAACTACTGCTAGGCTACTGGCAAACTACATTTTCTTCAGCAAACAAAGCTTGTTTTTTTCAGGATGCTCATTTCCCTACAGATGGTAAAGGGTATTGTTACATTGTCTGCCCATTGCCAAAGACAGTAAGACAAAAGATATGTATTCAAATGGTTGTTAAAAAAATTAGAATTACAGTATAATTATCTTGTTCAACATTTTATTAGAGAAGCAACAAAAATCCATCACAAATTAATCTCGACAGTGGAATGCATCAAAGAATTACAAAATGCTTCTTTTGAACAAAAATTGTTCTATATTTTTCAGTAGTATATTTCTCCTCACAATTTCACAGTCATTATAATAAACAAATGTATAAACCACATGCAGTGACAGAATGAAATCAGAATTACTCCAGCTAGGTGAAAAAGAAATTCCTTCTAAACTAGTTGCTCTTACATGGTTCGTGGGAATTCAGACTTACAGGATTCAGCTCCCAAATTAAGGAATTCTGGAATCTAAATCACTTTTGCTGGGCCAATTCACTGCTATTTGAAGTATCACTTTATCTCAGTACTAATGAAAGAATCAGGAGAAAACAAAGTCTTACTGAAAAGAACAAAACATCAAATAAACAATTCTATCTGAAGACGTGATAACAAAATACTGAAAGGTCATTTTTAAATTTCACTGCAATTTGTACCAAATGAAACAACTGTAGAAACACATCGTTAAGAAATGAAAAAGCTTATGCAATGTTGTTGAAAGAACAATTTAGCTTTCCACATTCTTGAAATCATATACTTTTTTTCCATGGTGACAATGCTCAGATACGTTTTGGTTTTTTTTTTTTTTTTTTTTTTTTTTTTTTTTTTTTTTTTTTTTTTTTTTTTTTTTTTTTTTTTTTTAGTGGTTGCTTTGTTTGTTTTTTACATAGCTTTATAAAAAAAAAAATGAAGAAAATTTGTCTACTTCCAAAGGCCAAGTAACTGAACTGAGCCTTTATTGTGTAGCTGGGGAGTTACGGCAGCAGCTCCTGAAGTAGGATCAGTCCTTCAGTCCATTTTGTTGGATGGCTGTTTTTGAAGGGATGCTAATGAGACTTGTATCATTTGACTTATAGCATTTACTTCCAAAGGAGTGTCATAAACCTCTTTACAACACATTGGAGCTGCTTCAATATCTTTGATACATCCTTAACTTTGACCTCAAAGAGGTCATGTGATAATTCGAACCAAAATCTGTTTTAAATACACCTGACCTTTCTCATCTGGACAATTTAGCAACACAGAAGCTTCTGAAATCTCAGTATTTCACAAAGGAAGCAGCATAGCTCCAGAAGGCAGATGCTACAGCATCATCCCTTCTGTTACATTCCGAATAAAGTTCCAAATGAAAGTGCAATAAGAATGCAATCTCTTACATCAAAGACACTAAGTAAGGATATAGGCATGGATTTCAATACTGCTACCAATCAGAAAACTTTTTCAAACTAAATGTGGCAAAGGAATTTACTACCCACAAAATAAGTATATAAAGATAATTAGTTCTATTACTGCAGTCGGTAGTTGACATCCAGTCGCTTTCACTTCTAGCTAAAGAAGTTTGATATAATTATCAATAAATTTAAAACCACACAATTTTTTAAATAAACACATGCTCACATGTCTAATTTACAACATCTAGGTACAAGAAAAAAGTTGATTGCTGTTATAAACAGAAGGGCAAACACAGACATAGATCTAAAACCACATTAGCATACCTAACAAAGTTTCACAGTGTTAGCTGTAGGAATCAGTATATAATTAGTGTAGATTTCATAATTAACATCTATAAAGACACGATCACATCACATTATGAGTTAAAAACACACCTTAACTAAAAACTTCAATTTTAAATATTGCATTTTTGCGCACAATTCTGCAAGCATCATAATTTCTATTTGCACAAATAAATACCAGAAACATTCCACTTCATTTGTTATTCCAAGTGATGGTGCATACAAAACCATCTACATAGATTTTAGCCCTTGATGAAACCTCACTAAGAATATGGACTTAAATACCTCACCTGAGCATCTGAAACAAAAAAAAAGAACTATGGAACAGAGGCTGAGAAAGCAGAGTTGACTTCTGATATTGTCAGTCTTTAAAAGCTGTAGCTCCATTTGTGCTCTGAAGAGTGCAGAGATAAAAATGTGAGTTTGTGTTACTGTCATTACATGAATACTGAGGTCAGTCCTTACCCAGGCAGTTTTTCTCCTCTCTGGACAGTCAGGTTTCTGTGCAATGCACGCTTTGCCCATCTGTTCACCTTTTAAGAAAAGGAACTAGTTCTACTACCTCTTTAAAAAGTCTGGAAAGCAGGGCCTGCTCTGAAAGGTGCCTGACTGAAAACAGCATATGAAGAGCAAAAGGATTTCCCGACACCAGTGACACCGGTGGCCACTTCCATACCTTCTGCCTCCAGTTCAGACCCAGGGATTGCCTCTCATGAGCTTTAAGTGGTGCCGGCTCATGGATGCAAAGCCTTTTGCTCAGTCAGATACAGGAACTTGCTTTGACTTTGAATATGCCTCTTGGCTAAGCAAACATAAATTCCTGTGTGACGTTCCCAGATAATTTAATTTCTCTCTGATAGGTGCTTTGGAGGAAATGTTACACAGGTGGTGGTACCTCTCCTTGACTAGGGCTTGTGGTGGCAAATTGTAGCTTTAAGCATGCACGGGCAGTAAAGTGTCATAGAATGCTGTCATTTCACATCAAGCTCTACAAAGCAAAAGTTTATTCAAAGTGTATGTCACAGCTATAGAATTCTATTTATGAGACAATTGTTAGATACTAACTCAAGAACACATTGGTATCCTTGTCTCTGATTCTTGAACCCCAGCCAGCTTTGCTCACTTGGCTGCCATGTGCCTTACTCTGTCATTTTAGTTCTTATTATTTCAAAAGTAGTCTGGACATCCCCCTTTCAGTCATGTGGGTGTTCAGGCACCACAGTGCTGGAGTATCTGCACATAGACCCTACTGCAATAGCCTGATGGTCTATGCTGCTCAGGCAGACAAGCTGGTAAGCCTCAGCCCCCCATAAAGAAGGAAGAGCCACAATGCAGAGGATTTAGGAAAGACTGCAACGCAGCCTGCATGGGTTCTGCAGCTGGGTCTGCTCCAGCCAAATCTCTGCCAGCTCCCAGAAGTCAGTCACACCTATACTGCTGGTTAAAACTTCCTTGTTGTTGGTCCCTTCCTTGTCTTTGCCATCACTCTGCCAAGCTAGAAAATCCCTGTGGAGCTCAGCAAAGTTAAAAGAGAAGTTAAAGCAAGGGTGCAGACAGAGTACGATACAGACTGTTCACAGAATCACAGAATCACAGAATCACAGAATCACAGAATCACAGAATCACAGAATCACAGAGTGGGTGAGGTTGGAAGGGACTACAGTGGGTCAACTGGTCCAACCCCTCTGCTCAAGCAGAGTCATCCTAGAGCACATAGCACAGGATTGCATCTGGACTGTTCTGGAATATTTCCAGTGAGAGAGAATCCACAACGTCTGTGGGCAATCTGTTCAGTTTCTTCTTCCCATGCAGAGCGTGTCGAACAGAATCTTTTGGATGCAGCAGACACAGGTTCACAATTCACGAGTTTAACATTTAAATCAGAGGTCTATCAGGGTATTTTAGATCTCTTTGAGTTCGCAAATATGGATGGATGTAAATGAAAGTGATGGGGAACCAGCAGAGTGTGTAAAAGAATACTGGACAGGAAAGCCTTACAGTGCTGGAGGGGCTACTTCTTCTGTCCCACACTGGATAGGTTTTTTACTAGAACAGAAATTTTTTTTTTCAAGTTTTTAAATTTCGTGTACAAAAGCTGCACAAAATGTTCATAACAAACAAGGCACCTTCCTCAGTTTCTGTAACTGCTGCACAGAAACAGGAAAATATAATTCTAGCAAGAACAAGATCTGGTCTAGAGCAAAGCCAAAGCAGTACATACTGTTTTGTCTTCAGCTACAGCAGAGAGACTGTGGCCTCAGGCTGCTTATCGTGTGTCTGTGCGAGAAAAGCATGGAAGCAACTATGCTGTCAAGTGAGAAGCCACAGTGACTTCTGTTCTGAAAATACTTTATGTTCTAAAGTATTCTAATAGATAAACTTTGAGACAAAAAAAATTAAAGGTGTCATTTTTCACTGATTTTTTCTCTTTTCCCTAGACATTACCTAAATTGAAACTACAACCCCCCTGCGGCACTCTTAGACAAAATTGCTATCGAACCAAGGGAAGAAGAACTGTTGAAAGCCTGTCCAATACTCTTTAATACCTGTCAAGTTCCGACAGAATTCAATAGTAGCTGAGACTTACATTTAAAGTGGTACATCTGTAAACTAGATTGATGAAAAAATAAGATACTTTAAAAGCTTCTTACTGACTTTTTGTTTATTCCCTGCTGCAAATTCATTCAGTGGTCCTCCTATTTCATGCTGTTCAAGGTGAAAATAAACTAAAGAAGAAGAGAAAGATTTTTCACTCTTTGCCATCAGATACCTGTTATTGAAGTGTGCTATGATGCCCACAACTGGATTTGCTCTGATGTGGGATGAGGGAGTCACTGGCAGGTAATTACTGTTATCAGTGGTTCTGGTTGCTGTTGGACAGGCCCTGCTGGTACCGCCCAGTGCAGCCACACATAAGGGCAGCTCCTCTCCTTGACTCCTAGCTTCACTGGGAGCATCAGCCACTGCCCCACTCTGCATCTGTGGACGTGTCCTAGGAAGCCTGAGAATGCAGACCACTCTTCAGCCAGTTAAAGAGACAAAGCATTTGGGTATTCCACAGAAGCCAACTCACCCTCCTAAAGTTATATTGTATTAAGTGCTTTGTTCAGTTAGTCTCAGTAGTATATTCTTTTAATTTCCCAAGAGGCTGTTTTTTCTTGTGGGACACAGGCAGGTGTGTAGAGATTATAGTAATCCCTGCAATTCTGTAAGCAGAGATGTCTTTACATTTCATACCCTTTGGTAGGAACAAAACATCCAAGTGTCTGTGTACAACAGAAGAAGCTGGGCCTCAGGCCTGAAAAAGAGGAGAGAAGAAGTAAACCGAAAAAAAAAAAAAATCATTCTCATACCGTCTGCAAATACAAATAAGAACTAAGCCTCTCTGTGGATCATCTGTAAGTTCTAAAGCATACAGGTCTACAAACAGCATTTAAGTAGCATTGTGTAAAAAAGCACCATGAAATCAGTAACATACATCATCTTGTAGAAAAGTGCTGGATTAGAGAGAAGTACTACACTTGGGGATGTTGCTGCTGGCTTGGAAGTGGATGGGGCTTTCAGCACTCTCAGAACCAGAGGGCTGGTGTGCAGGACAACCTTATCTTCTCCTAGCACCAGCTGCATGGTGGCACTGGGCTACTTAACCCCCAGCTGGAGCCAGGGGGTGAGACCCCAGAAAATGCCCCATTTCCCTCCCTGCAGGCAACCAGAGCATGCCTGGAGGAATCGCTGAGATCAGACATCTACTGCTCACACATAATATCCTCCTGCCAGATGTGTAGGTGAGGCACCAGGCACGAGCACCATCTTCTGATGCTTCACTATTGCCCTCTGCTCCTCAGAAAAAAAGGCTTAATCTGTGTCTTTCTCCTCATCCTCCCCCATGCTGCAGATCCTCCAGTTCCCATGATGCTTGGCACACGGTCCTTCAAAATCATTACCTTCCAGACCTGGGCAGTCCTCCCTCCCTGCCATGCCCTGTTTGGTGCATCACCTGCTACCCTCAGCCTTTCCCAGCTCTCTGTGGTGCTGCCCTGGCTGAAGCAATCCCAGCACAGCCCCATGCCCAGCAACCTGCTCCAGCTCATGAGGACTCCACACAAAACACTGAAATGCATTAACTGTTACCTCAGATGACAAACATGTATCACCAAGGGACAATTTTGCAGAGGCCAGGTAGGTATTGGTGACAGTAATATCTTCCAGCTCAGTGCTGAAGTGATCCGAATCTTTGATGACGTTATAAGTTAGGGCTGCACTGTAACTGGCAGTCTTCTTCTCCTGTTTCTGCTGGTAGTTGCAGAGTTTCCTGAAGGCTGCTCTGAATTTCTGGGACATGAGATTGTAAATTACAGGATTGATGGCACTATTTAAATAAATACAGATTCTGCAAAATAGCAGGAACCAGTTTTCTTGGAAGGGTCTGGAGAGAAAGGAATTGACCACAACCAGCGTGCGATAGGGCATCCATAGGAATGCAAATAGAATCACAACCACAGCCAGCATCTTGGTAACCTGGGGGAACACAGAGGTAGGCAGAAGAGGGCAGAGGGTTACTACTCACCTTGAAATGAACATGTGCATTCCTGCTTCTCTAGAATCAAAGCAAAACTGTGGACAAGCCCTTCAGTGGGAATTTCTAATGAATATTTAATTCAGAAAAAAATTCTAAAGAAGAAAAAAACACTTGGATCCCATTTCTTCCTAGTTTTTGTTAATGTACTCCTTCCAGGTGTTATCCCAGTCAGCTGATTGATGTAGACCTTAGACTTTTCAACTTCTCACACATATGCCTATAAGTCAATTTGTTGGTTTTGTTATAGGTATTATGATAAAGAATGTGATGAAGAGCAAAGGTTCTACACAAATTGATGTATCTTTATCTGTCTTTAAATATACCTATTCATATTTATCTTATAATTCTACTCCCTTTACCCTCACTTTCAATTTTCCTACAGCTGTGTTCAGTAGAAGTAAAAAATGAGACAGAGAAGTACTATCTCCTTTTCTTGTCACCTGATACATTTAATTATAACTTATAGACTATTTTTCTAATTTTCTAGTGCACAGTCATTGAAATAAAACAAAATGTGAATGTCCTAGGTAGCTCAAATGATGATCTTTCCTTATCTACAAATCACTTCTAAAACAGAAATTCCTGTGAAAATGGCAGCAAGCAGTGAGGTGACTCAGTACTGACTTGCTCTGGCTCAGGAAGTCTCAGGACTCCTCACCTCACCCCAGCTCAGCTCCAGCATGTGCCTCCAAACTGAGCAAATCCATTCAATGAAGAATAATAATTCATCATGGAAAATAATTCACATTGTAAGGAAGAAAGTAACTATTTGTGGAGCTTGGATGAACAACTGGATTGAGCCCAACTAACAGATCTCTTGCATCAGGTAAGGCATTCAGTAGATAATAGTCTACACAAGCGTCAGAGTATTTTACTATCAGAAGCTCTGCAGGGCACTTTGTTACCAGTCATTGACAATTTACATTTTTCCTGAGCATGTCTTTAAGGAAAAATTGCTGCTTTCTTATCCACACCAAAAATCTTCATTGTGATGGATGGGGCTGAACACGAATAGTTTAGAGGAAATTTTGGTCCACTTTGTTTAAATAAACTGCCATATCTTTTTTCAAATCACTTCATATGAAACACAACTAAACAGCATCTGGGAGGGGGCTAATTATTTGACATTGTGGAGTTCTAAGAGGACAAACTTTTAGAGAACAGACTTTTTATTACCCATAAGCATATACACCAAAGCTCTCTGAAAGCAGCAGTATTAGCATCCTCATTCATTGCTCAGGTAAAGGCAAGGATACACTGATTGCTCTTTTCTTGTGGATGCACACTGCATATCCTACACTCAGAGTACAAATTATTCCTAGTTAGGGAGATTGAAAACATGATTAAAAGGCTTTGAGCAAACCTGGTTTAGTCCAAATTTCAAGTGTATTTTGAATGACAGGGAAGTGCTTGAGATTGAATATGGTGCTGGTTGCATACAAACATTCTTCAAACCCTATATTTTTATTTCTGAGAATGTTCTAAAAATGTTCAAAATGTATTTTACTGAATAGATTCCCAATATTTTAATTCTGAACTAGTATTCTCCTTTTCTTTCCTGCTCCAAAACCTTGTCATTCTAAGAAAGTGTTTTTATTAAACATTTTCATTACTGCGGTACTCAGAGTTTGGTAGTTGTTTCCTTCTCCTTTGAACACTAATCTTTCTTACATTGATAGGCAAAAGTGATAACTGCTCTGGTGTTTTAAAGGTATGTAATAATATCTTTCTTGTGGTTGCTGGTGTTCCTTGCAATGAAAAGAGATTGTATTTCCCAGTCCATGATCTTGTAACAAAAAAGAAGTTATGCAACAAGGAGGAGGATTAAATAAATAGAAAGATTAAGGTCTTGATATACTAACATCACAAGTGAAATCAAATTATAAGACTGAGCATTTCATGTAGGCCTTACAAAACTTATCTTGCACTGAAAGCTGAAATCTGAAATCTGTACTTGCCCTGCTGTGACAGAACAGAGGGATTTCTCAGGGGAGCAGGTCATTGCAGACTGCACTACTGTCAAAGACAGGACTTTCTCTAGAGGGTAATCTGCCTGTTATAACTGACCATAATGACCTTAGATGATTTGATTGGACTAAGTAACTAACTTACTTTGTAAGATATGCATAATGTTTAGTGAGTTGGATCCCACCTCAAGTATAAACAACATTTGTTATCTAAGGCTGTATTTATTTTTCACAGTCCCCTTGATGCCTGAGGAAACTAGGAATTCCTTTGGGTGCAGTATGAAATCTACCTGCAAACATGTAATTCAGTGTTCATATCATGAATACACAAGAAAAAAAATTGGGATCTGTGGGCTGAGCTATGTGGGATAAAATGGAAATGTGGGAGAGTTCAACACAGCCAGCACCAAGATCTGATCTGGAGAACCAGGCAGACGAGGAGCATGTGTGAAAGAGAAAAGGAAGCACACAGCTCAGGTAATGATTCCTTGAGCACATCAGCCAGAGAATGTATGGACTCTTAGCTGCAATAAAAAGAGGACTAGATCCCTTCCTTGTCTTCCCATCTGCTTCCCATGGCCTCTTGCTCACTTTTAAAAGATAATGAGCTGCTTGCCAAGGTAGTTCAAGAACAGATACTCCTAGAAAAAAAAAAAAAAAGGTTTAATTTTTCTCCCATTTTCAGAGTTTTCTTGTATGTCAGTAAAATGCCTTTTATACCCTTCAGTTTTGAGTTCTCTCCCTCTTGTCTTCCTTCTGACCATGCCTGGGTCTTCAGAACATTTTCTTGATGTAATTAGAACAAAATTATTCAAATTTCCAGAAGAAAAAACATTAACATTTTAGAAATGCTGAGAGATCCTAGTACTTGTACTGCTAGAAGAAAAGAAGCACTGTTAGCAAATTTAAGGATCCCCCCCCCCCCAAAAAAAAAAAAAAGCTTTTCTCCCTCATACTCTATGCTGTAAAAAAGACATTTCATATTAGTTGTGGTTACTTGTTAGGGAACCTTTGTTTTATCGCAAAATCTGCTCTGAATAATTTGAATAACACATTTTCTATTAATGAACTGACACCTTGCTTTCCCTCTTGACTACTATTTAGTACTGAAATTATGTCTGTTTACACCAGAGTCTGAAAATATCCTTTCTAATGAAACTGAACATGGTCCATCCATTTACCTTCAGGAACAGAACCTCACTCTCTACTGTCTATATATATAATGTAGTAGTAATTATAACCACTCAGTGGAACTGTACTGAATTTCCATGTCCAAGTTTTTACAGTAGCAAGTTGGAAGGGTGGTCTCTCTGAGAAGAAGCCAGAGACTGTCCCGAGCTGGACACTAACAGTTCCATCCAGCTCCAACAGACCCATCGGGACACAGCTGAGCCCATCAGCAAAGCTGGTGGTGCCTCTGGGAAAACATATTTAAGGAATGCCAAAAATGCTAAAAAGAGAGAAAGAGGGGATAAGAGAACAAAAGAACGAGAAACAGTGGGGGAACACCAAAGTCAGAGGAGGTACATTTTGGCAAGGCTGGCACTGCCTGCAGGGACTGCAGCCAGTGGAGGAACCACACTGAAACAATAAAAGAGTGAGAAGGAAGGGATGACAAGAGCAGGAGCCAACCCACCACAGAAACATGCACAAATGTAATTTTGTAGAAATGTTCTTGGGTAAATATGAGAACTGCCACAGAAGGAGAAAGTGTACACCACATTTTCAGTCACTTTTTCTCTAGATTATGTGCTGGGCATTGTATACAACTCACTCCCTGTAACACAAGGACAGTTCTGAGAAGACAGATAGTTTCACATGACAGCAGGACTCACTGTGAGGCCAAACTATACTGTCAGCTATACGTGGCTTTGCCAGTGCAGCAGAAAATTTTCACTTGTGTGTCTTACTAACCCTTGAGATGCTAGATTTTTTTGAATATGGACTTTTCTCATTTTACACCACTGGCTTTTTCATGCTATTAATATGTAAAAAAATATTACTAATAATGCCATAATATCCTTGCTTTGCTTCCCATGTTGTACTGAATGTAAATGCGAGCTTTACTCGTAATGAGGCTACTTTAAGCAACCAGATTACTTGGGCTTTTAGAAAAAGTCTTGCTGTCTTTACAAGACATAAAAGATATCACATTATAATCTTCACCTTTTGGTTTCATAATAAAGCAGCATCCATATTCAGCAGTGTTCAATGTAAAAGATTTGTCTGTTTTTCAAGTGATGCTAAGCACATGCAATCAAGCATGTGTACTCAAGTGATATTGAGAACTTTAAGATCAGATTATCTTCTTCTGCTAATTAATGGACAAAGGAAAACAACACTAAACAGTTCTTATCTGACTATTAACTATAATTGGCAATGTAATCAAATATAACATAGCCCACATGTTTCTGTTGTGCCTTTCAAAGCGGGCTCTAGTGCTCTGCAAGTGCTCGATGCTCTAGCAGGAGCTCAGTTACCTTTTGAGGTCCATGCTATCTCTGTAAGAAGAAAACATGGACCCTCTCATTAAACAGTAGCAATCTACATAAAATAAGAAGAATATAAAGTTCAATCCCTCACCCAAGGGGGCATTCAGGTTGTCTGAGAAGGTGCACAGCTCAGTTTGGTTTCCTGAGGGAGCTGTACAGTGTAGGGAAGCAGAAGCTTGAGGAAGCGTCCCACTGGGGTACCATGCAGAGTCAAGAGCCAAGGCACTCAGCACAAAACTGCTTCCCAATGCTCACATCAGGCTGCCTGACCTGACTGGAGCCTGCTCCCAAGAGCCATTTGAGAAGGATGCACCCTGTGCTTCTCACACAGCCATTGCACCAGCTGTGCTACTTGCTGCATGCTGTGTGAGAATGAGGCAGTGTGGTAATTAATGCCTGCAAATAGCCAGGCATTAATCTACTAGCTATATTCTACTGGTATTACGACACAGGGCAGTACACATATTTAACAATATAAAAAGAAGCTAGTCAAACCTATGCACCAGTTTTGAGCCATCAATACATAAAAAGAGAGAGAGTAACCGAGATATTAGCATTTAAAAAGCACTTTTATATACAGATTTCCTTAAATTGACTTTTCACTGGAGAGTTAGAGACAGGAAAAGTGGCAACATGATTGTGTTTGCTGGGTGACAAACTGCCTTAACTGGGACCAAACTTCAAGTCTCCCAAATTCCCAGGCTAGTTCCTACTCTTCAGATCCCAAAAATTATTCAAAAGTCACTGTATATTTGGCAAGATTACTAACAGCCTGTAATATAAAGAAACTATAATTGAAAATGTTTCATTCATAATTGGTGCTCCCTAAATGCTTTTAATATGGGAAATAAAATGCTATTTTTTTTGTCATTGCAGTAGGTAATAATGAATAAGCAAGAAAAAAACCCCATATTTATACATATGTGTATACATATCACAGAATTTCAACTTGACTAGTTAGCAAAAAGGCAGAATATGTTTTACCTCTTTCTACAGCTTCAGAACAGTGAACTCTAAACCAGTTGTGCTTTACATTTCAGAAAGGCATTTCAAACTGCTGTTCCTACCTGCCTTCGAGAAGCAATAGTGCTATTGAAACTTCTGTTAGTCATCTTGGAATTTACAGGCTTGCTTTGGTGAGCCACATCATTCCTCCATGTCTTAGAGTTTTCTTTTGGATCCGAAGGGATGGGGTTCAGGAACAGTATTCTAGCAATCAGGCCATAGAGGACAGTTGCCAATACCATTGGCACAACATAAAATATGCCAAAGTCCATCATGTAGATAGGAGAGTAATAGCTCCTGGATACCTTGTAGCCGCAGGACACAACAGTAGTCTCTTTGTAGGCTACTGTATTAATGTCCAGCAAGAAAAACCAGAGCATACAATATATGGAGGTGAAAGCCCAGACAAAAATAATGATCTTTTTGGCTCTTGAAAAAGTGCACAGGAATTGGGCTTTGATGGGGTGGCAGATGGCTATGTATCTCTCAATGGTGAAGGCAGCAATGGAAAAAGAAGAAGCATTGATCCCTAGGTACTGGAAATAAGTGATGCAGAGACACCCCACGTAGCCATACACCCAGGATCTATACAGGCTTTCTGTGATATTGGGTAGTCCTGCAGCCACAAGCACCATGAGATCTGCCACAGCCAGACTCACCAGGTAGCAGTTAGTGGGAGTTCTCATGTGTTTGGTTCTGAGGACCACCAAAACCACCATGATGTTGCCCACAATGCCCAGTCCACAGATGAGGAGGACCAAGAGAATGGTAACCACTTGGTATTCAACTGTAATGATCTCCTGGCTTGATAGTGGCAGCACAGTTTGGTTCTGCTTGTCCCCTGTGCCATTCTCCATCTTCACCAGCGCACTGCTGCTTCTGCCCAGCACTTGATCTCAGCACTTGTTCTCCATTGTCATGCAAAAGGGTGAGTGGAGCAGAGTGTGGGTGCTCCTCAGCTCCAAAGCACATTCTCCATGTAGTCACAGTCCCATTCCTGTGTCGTCCTCCACTCCCCCGAAATCACCTGGACTTTCAGTCTTTATAAATTCAACTATCAGACAGGTTAATCCCTCTAAGATTCCAGCTCATTTGCACAGGTTAAAAGGCTGTTTTCTCATAGCCGAGTTGAGTCATTCATGAAATCGAGCCCGCGGAGGTGAGAGTTTGCTCCCTGCAGGGGCAGGGAATGCAGAGCCCTCCTGCACCGCCAGCTGCTGAGCTCCGCACAGGGTTGAGCTGATCCAGCCCGGGCAGACCAGCATCACCGCTTGCCAGGAGGAGTCACAAAGCGCCGAGGGTGGAGACAGCAGCAGGACGTGAAAAGAGAGGAATTTGTAAAGGTTTTGTGTTTCACACCGCTTTCCTCTTTCTGTTCTCAGATGGCTATCTCACTTATTGATCATATTGATCCACACTGGCAGACAAAGGAGAGATGACTGGTAATAAAATTACACCAGTTTCTAAAATTCTGACTTCCCCGTGTCCCTGTCCTTGTGAAAGTAATGGTAATTTGCCTCCTACTTTGCCCCCCCCCCCCCCCTACAGGGGTCTGTAAGAGTCACTTCAGGGCTTAGAAAGAAACACATGCCAGCTTTTGAAAATTACAGGGAAAAAAATGTGGTTTATAGACAATTCTCTTCAAAACCTCTATTGCTATTGCTGTCATGACTCCCAAGCCCTTTCAGCTCTCTTCTGAATTGTAGCACAGTGACAATAAAACTATCACAGCACAAATTGCTTCTTAATGGATCAGTCACACACATGTACATGTGCACACCCCCAACACACACACTGTTTCCTCAAGGAAGAATCTTCCCTGGTTGAATAAACTCGTCCACTGCACTGGTTATGAAAAACCACAGATGAATCAAAGACTGGTGGAAATAACTGCTTTGAGCCGTGCAAATGAAGCCCTACCGATGCAGTAATCCAGCTGCACCTGGAGATGAATACTGGTCTTTCCTGTCTCGCTGGCAACTAAATGCCTCAGTGAATGAAACAATAGCAAACTTTCTGCAGGGCTCTGTGAAAGTGCCCTTGTCAACTCCCCACCATAGCCCCTCAACTCGTAGTTTCTCCTTATACTATTGTGTTAAAAGGTTAAAGGGTAAATTTGCCTTAAAATCCTTCTTTTTCTCCATTTAGGGCAAATGCTTTTGCTCTTTGCTCAGGAAGGGTTCAACAAAATACAATATTGCACAACTGATGAAGGCAACTTGGATTTCAGAACAATTTTTAGTGTCAAGAGAGAAAGATTAGCACAGGCACATGGTGCAAAACTAGGATTTTTAAATAGACTGAAAAAACAGGTGGTGACAAAAAGACAGTATCACCTGAAACAGAGATGGAAAACAGACTCAAACAATTCCAGAGGTTTGAAGCCACTCAGTAAAGTTTTCCAGTCATTGTTTTCCATTTGCCTTTTCAAATTTCAGTCATAATCATATACTTTTTATCTGTAGACCCAAAAGTACCCAGCAAAGTAAAGCAAATATCATTATTCCAGTTTAACAGATGAAGAAACGTGGGTGAAAAGAATCAGATTTTTTGGCCTTGCAGTGGCCTATGGGAAAACACAGGTTGCTGGTTGCTTGACCAACAGTATATCAGCAGAAAAGTATCGTGGGTCTCATCTTGATTCTCCTCTATCTGATTCTGTTATTTTGCACACAGTTGAAAGAGAAAGCAGGTCAGCACTACTGTAATGCCTGGGTGTCATAAAAAAGATTCCTCCCAGCCCCTTCAAACTCCACAACATTTTATCCTTCAAACGGGACAGATTACCCCTTAGCAACGCATGCTTTTAAAGCTTTGTGACTATAGGGGGGATAGCTACAGATGTTCAATCCCATAGAATAAAATACAGCACAAAATGCACCATGAGGTAGCCCAGGAGTGAAAGATCACAGAGTTAGTGTCAGCACTCAGGGACCCTGCAGGCATCAAACCCATCAGGCACTGAACCAAAGTTCAAAACAAGAAACTGAGTGAAACGGCACCCTGGATAAAGCCCTTAACCCTCAGGGACCTCAGATGAATTGGAAAGTTTTGACACCTCCTTAGACTGATTTCTCTTTCAGGGGCGACTGATGCCTTTTTGCCACACTGTCTTACCATGAATGCTTGTTCCTCATGCTTCTGCATATTCTGCTAACTTTTGTAGGCAATGTGGATCATCTAAGTTGGGGCTAAAAATTAACACAGCTGAGAGTATGTAAGTGTTTGCAGTGCAAGAAGACACGGCTGAGGGCATGGGATGCAGAGAAGCTGTGGAATATTTAATAGGCCATGTGACTTTGAAATGAATATCAGAAGTCTGGAAGATGTGCAAGACATAGTATCTGATGCTTGCCTCATTCCTCTGCACCTGCTACTGGTCTGTGTCAGAGATGGGATAGACCGTCTCATCTCTGTCACTTTTTGTGTCTTTTTATCAAGTGTTGCACTCTGGTAGTGAAAAAAGTATGGAGTTGTTACTGTATAGCTATGGGGAAGTATATCTATAGGAGGCATTCAGAGTACTGACAGTATTCACATCCTATATGAAACATTTTCCCTTTTTTTCATACAATACTTCCCCAGCCTTCAATGTTTCTGTAAAACCTGCAATAATTGCAGAAGGAATTTCAAGACTGGATATATATGTTCTGTATATATATGTAATAAAAGCATCTGGTGCTGTGTATTTCCCTGAAACATTGTATGATGCAAGTTGCCTGATACATTCAAATTATATAATGTGATCATCAGTCAGAAGTCAAATACTGAATCTTGGAATCAGTAAAAGACCAACTTTTCCTCCCCATTAACGTTGTGTTAATGCAACTGTCAAAATATAGTGGCTAGTTTCAAAAGCAATTTATCATGAATATATGCAAGCCCCACAGCCCTGCCAGGGAAATTTTGACAGCAGATGGACCGTAGATCACTGTGAAGCTTTTACTGCATATCTGTTACCCCACTTTATATCCATGCCTGTTGGTCCAGGCATCAGTTGACATTGCATGTACTAATGAGGACAGATGCAGTCAGCAAGTCAACGACAATAACTAGAAAAACAAGACCTGGAAATGTGCTGACTTTTGCTAGTACATTTGTGTTGGTACAACTCCTTGGGTAGTAGGGAGAGGGGAAGGCATCATATTGATACCACCTGTGCTGTGTACCACTTAGCCAACAGTATTTGTGCCCAAGTTTGTTTCCCATTTGTCTAAATTAAAATGTGTCTCTGCTCACTTGAGTCACAACAAACACAAAACAAACTGTCTCATAACGTTAAGCACAAACTGAGATGGAACACTGAATCACTATAAAGAGTTTACCCCATAGTTATAAATTATTCTTAATTCTGTTTCTCTAACTCAGATCACTTCCCCAGCTGGCCTTTTCTGTTTTGAAAAATGATTCTGCAGTTTCATACTGTATTACCTGCCTGTACTCAGGGTTCATGAAAAATCTCAGCTAAGTTGGATTCTTTACTCTGCACCCACCTCCAATGGATTGCTGAGCACTTACTGCTGTACAAATGTTTCCACAGCTGCAGTTTGTAGAGATCAAAAGCCACCATTGGTAGTTGTTTCAGTACCATCCAAAGGCTGGCTTTTAAAGTTCATATCTAGCTACTGGCACGATCAGCTCCAAATGTGTTTGAGATTTACACTGGACGGTTAAATAGTGTAGCAACTGCGGTGAGCTAGAATTTATCCTCCTCCATCTGCTGCACCACATGGCTGTGTTTTTGTGCTGATACAGTGAGACAGTGGGTGTTTGGTTTGTGGGAGAAATCTGCACCTGAAAAGCCTTTCATGAGTAAAGATTGTAAGGGGACCAGACACCTTTTCTGTGGGATAAATCTCGTTACCCAAGACAGTGATCCTTTTTTCTAAATAATTTTTGTTGCCTGTCACTGATAAATGCTGAAATACTGCTAAAATCATGAGTGGATTTTCCAAAAATACCTAAGTGGTTTAGGATTTATTATGAGTTGGAGACTCTTGCATTCTTACATGTACCTGACAAATTCTGTTGATCTAGGGCCTTTTAATCTCCGTGAGAGTGCAAATCCCGTTTCAAAGGTGAGTTTGCTGTTATATATTTATTTTCTTTTAATCTTCATCTTGGACTGGTAGCCAAGGCAAATAATAAGGAATTTTTAACTAAAATATTCTGAAAAAACAATTGTCAAAAAATTACAAAAATTGTATTTAATCAATCAGTTGGCTCACATGGGAAATTTGATTCATCTCTTGCCTGTCAGCAAGGTCACTGGACCAAACCACTGGTTTGTTGAGACAGAACTAGGATCATGTGACAAAGAAAGCTGGAAGGACTTTTAAGTCTACACTTTTCTTCTACCAACTCAGGTGGAGATACAAGAGCCTGATGAAGGAGCAGGAACTTTGCCAGAATAAATATAGAAAGACCACTCAAAAAAACATTTAGAGATGGGTGAGGAAAACTGCTTTTATGAATTTATTATTTGGTGAATTATTGGATTTGCCTCTTAAGTGACTGTTAGCTGTCAAAATCACCACAGAAAAGTGATCTGAAAAAAGAAGGGGTTCAGTTCAATAGTGACTAACACAAAGTGGTACACTTTGGCAAGGGCAAGCAGGTACATAAAACCAGTGGGGAGCAAATGGGAGAGGAACAAGTCTGTAGAAGCAGCTCATCTGATCCCAAGCCATGCATCCATCAGTATGAAGGGCTAACAAGAAGCTGGTGTGAAATCAAACTTTCATCTGGAGTGCATCAGCAAGAGCTTCTCCAACATGATGTATGAGCTTATCCCTCACTGGACTGTCTCCAGTTTTGGGCGGCACCTTTTGAGATGTGGATACAACTCAGAAGAGCAAGAGGAAAGATCTATCTATGACAGCAAGACCCATGAGAAAACAATGAACAAATGTATGTCACCTACCCTTCACAAGATGAGGCTGAGGCTGCAAAATAAAAATGACTAATCTGCTTTCTGCACCCATGATGGAAATAATAATCTGAAACAGCCACGGGGAAGATCTGGATTGAAAATACCACTGGATTGGAAGAATCATTGTAAAGATTGAGGAATTTGCCAGTAAAGAGGATTTGGAATAGACTGTGTCGGGAAGCTAGAGACTTCAGCATTAGGAATGAGCAAAAAACTGCTTGTCATAGACATGGTTGATTCTTTCTGATAACAGTAGGATGGGC